CCGCAAAGCCACAGCGAACAAAGCAGCATAGCGCAACAAATTCAATTCAAATCAATATAAGACTTATTTGTAACCTACACCAACAATTATGATAAATTACGTAACAACTACAACAGAAGACTGACCTTTGTGGGAATGCTTGGAGCAGACTAACATGTGAGCTGGATGTTCTGGGACGTTATATTTGGTCTTTGAATGGCTGCAATCCAGGCCATCCGTCATGTTCATGTTCAAGCCATGTTTCATGGCAATTTCTCTTCCACGACGTAATCCGATAACAACCGATCTCTTTACCCGTCGGCTTCCCGTGGCTGTCATGCGACCGGCTATTGCAGTTAATAATACAACAGCTTCTTGCCATTTTTTGTGTTTCTTTTTATTGCTGTGTAACTGTTTTCATATGAAAGCCTTCGTGCGCTAGTACCGCTTGCCACTCATTCCCAGAATCCTTTGTGGTTTTACCCCGGAATGACATCACATTTTCACTCTCTATTGGGAACCGTGTTTTTTTGCACAGAGCACAGATGGGAGAGGCGCAAACAGAGCCTTGCGTTTGGCAACAGCAGTAGCACATGAAAAGAGCAGGAGGGAGAGAGACAGAAAGAGAGCCGGAACAACAACAAGAGACAACATCGTTACATTGGAAAGGTATGTTAAAGAAAATGAGTGACACCAAGAAAAGAAGCCAAATCTGGAACCATTTAAATTTTATTCACACTAAAAGGCAGAGTGTAGAGTCTGCAAGAAAAGACTATCATATAGAGCCGGCTCCACAAACAACCTGCACAGGCACCTGAGAACTGTCCACCCATCAGTGCAATGAAAAGATAAAACACAGTCAGTTGAGTGTGATATTAATATTTCTAAATGCCAACCTTTCCCTTAATTAAAGACCTGGGCTTTCATTTTTTTTCTTTGTGTTTTGCATATTTTAATCAATATTTTTATTGTGTTGTGGTTTGCAGTGTCTTGTGTTGTTTCCTTTTAAATTTGTTTAAAAGAAAAAATCTGAAAATTTAAATAGTTAAAAGTTGAATTGTACATAGTTGTTTTTTGCATTTTATATATTTTTTTACATTTTGTGAATAAATAAAAGACTATTTATATAATAAACATATATAAATAAAAACACATTTTTTACATTAGTAGTTAATTTTGTGCATAATTTTATATTGCTATTGATAATAAATTAATTAAAGCAACAAAACAACTTGAAGATCCGCTTGGGATCCGAAAGACCGGGTCTTTTTTAGTGAGAGCACGAAGAAGTCGGTGTTTGTTTGTCCTAGTGCGCAGGCGTCATGTGAGGGTGCAGTTCCTGCTGCGGCCTTCGGGGGCGGCAGAGCGCGGCACAGCGGCGAAGAAGAAGAAGAATTAGCAGCGGCGCCAAAAGCGAGCTGCTCGGTCGCGCTCATTTCTCCGCTTCCAGCCGCTTTAAAGACCCGCAGCATGAGGCTTAGAGCGGCCCGCGGAGCTCACAGCGCCGGTGCACAGCCGCCCGCTAACGGGTCTGAGTAACGGCTAACGGCGGCTTCACGGAGGAGACGAGGCGCTGTGACGTCACTGAGAATTAAGGTTTGTTTTTGTTTTTTTGAATGAATCTTTATTCGAACAAACAGGAGCAGCAGCTACCAAAGTAGTGGTAGATTACCGGAAGTCTGCTCAGAAGTAAAATCAGGCCAAACAAACAGACTGAAGTTTGTTTTCTATTGTTTATTTGCGAGAGTAAAAGAGTGACGTCTTCAGCGTGTAAGGTTGGAGGTTGATCGCGTGAGGCTGTGAGGGGGGTCCACAGGTGGAGGGCGGGTCAGTGAGGAGGTTATCCCCAGCTTGAACAATAAAGTTGTGTAAACGTTGTTTCTAAACTAAAGCCATCGTTAGAGTCTCTCCTTCTTCCTGGATCTGAGAAAAGCGCCTTTACTTTTCTTTATATGAAGATCGTCAGTTTAAACAGCTGCGTCTCCACCAATGACTGTAGAAAACATGGACGATGCGACAGCGCCTCTTCCCATTGTGCAAATTTTTTTTAAAGAACTTTATTTACAAACAACAGTATAACATACAAGGCACCATCATTAATCCGAATATGTAATATCCTCGGTTGAGCATTTTCTTTGCAAGATCCTTTGACCAGGAAGTGAAATATACTTTTTTCTTATCGCCATAACCGCCATGGTCTCAAATTCTTTGAGGATATAATTTCTTTTAACCGGATTCGGGCAAATTTCACTTGTCAAAATATTCCTGATCACCTTGTTTGTAAACCTGCTGTCACCAAATTCAACTCCAGCTATGCAGAGCTGCCTCAGTCCAGGAGAAATTTTAGAGTGCACAA